GAGCGGGAACCCAGAGACACCAACACAAAGTTAAGCGAGGGAGTGAACTTGCAGCATGTCCACTGTTCTTCAATAAATACCCATCTGCGTATTCTTACCTCCCGTTAATTGCAAGGTAAATTATCCTCCTTTCAGTGAGATTGCCCTGATGTACACATACCTGAATTACCTCACCTTGAGTGTGTGTAATTCTGCTGTAACAGCTGACCTGTAGTGAATTGTTACCCTGAAACACATTTTAGCCTCTCTACTTCGAATCACTTCCACGCTTTGAAGCTTTAACCATTATGTCATGCTGTAAACTAAGCTTTTCCCCAACCCAGGGTCTTTTGAGCAATTCTGGGGTTTTATCTGTTTGCATCTGACATGCAGCCCTATGAAAAAGCACCAAACCTGGCCGTCCTTCCGCTGCTCCATAGCTTGGGTCGTTTCAAACACTTCCCTGGCAGCTGCAAAGCTGATACGAAGCAGCAAAACTTCCACTGTGGATTATCAGGAACACTACTGAAGCACTGCTTAATGCATCTGATATCTCAGCCTGGATAACAGAAGCCATACAGCCGAGCAAAAAAAGATTGGCAGCTATTGCAGGAATTCAGATAGGGGCACCTTGGTAAAGAGTGGGGGGAATGCGTTTACTTCCATTACAGAGCCCGGGGCTGAGATGGATTCTCTCTCCGTCATTGTCCTAAGCACATTATCCCTGAAAGAAAGAGGGTTTCTCTGAATCTGCAATTTTTCTAGGCTTCAGTGTTATTGAAATGAAACCGCTTCAAGGATATCTACATTCTTTACCATCATATGGATTCTCATCTCATGTAAATTATTTGGCCACTTTTCATTTTAATCCTCCACTGTCATTTTCTACAAAAGAGATCATTTGGTTTCTTCATTGAAGGTATTCAGCTGACAGCTGCCCTTTGTCTAGAAAGCGGTGTGCCTTTGCAGGATTTACTTGTGCCTTTTCTTTTTTTTTTTTCTTTTTTTTTTTCCTTTTAAGTTCATATTGCTTCATATTTTTCATCTGTAGTTTTCTGGAACTTTTCAGATTGTGAACAGGCTGTGGTTCGTAGCTGTGAAGAGAAATTCAGACATCCCACATTCTTTCCCTGGCTCTTAGCAAGGGTATACCTGGCTGATGATAAACAGAACTGGAGGCAGATTAATTAATTTCCTGCTTGCAAGAACAACTGTAGTAAAAAAATTCATGGTGTTTTCACAACTTCTACGTGAGCAAACCAAAACAGTCAATGATGAAGTCTTGAATTTTTTTCCCATGGCTTCCCTGTCTTGCAGACTCAGTTATTCTCGCCTACTTTCCAGAAATGTTGGGAGGCTTTAAATGTTGTGCTTTGTGTCATAGTGTATCACCCACAAGTCCCATTAAGGCCTTGAAATAAGCAATGGGAACAAAATATGTGTTGCGAGAGAGTGGATACTGAGAATTTGGAGGCTGAGGATAAAAATCAGCTCTTACGGTTGAGATTGTATGGTTTTGGTTACCTTTAGCTATGAGATTCTTTTCCTTTAAGACTGAAAACTTCCAAGGATAATCTCTTCTCTGATAAAACCAGCTTGCACTCTGTCAAAGGTTAAAAGCACAATATGGTGATAGAGAAGAATTATTGGGGAGCATGAGTTGAGGGTTGGGCAAGTTTATAGGCAGTTTGAATGTATGGGGAAAGGAGGAGGCAGGTCATTAAGGTGGTTAAGGAATAAGCCAGCAGGTGGAAGGAGGGGCACGTTCTAAAATTACTGTGTCAACTACAGAAACCAAGTTTAACTACTCTGGTAGTGCCCTTCCAGCTCCCCTCTGGTACCCGCTTAGCTTTGTGATCTCCATGAAAATGTCTTTCTTGCCAGGAGAGCTGCCTGAAAATTTCTCAGATTTTTGGTGTTTTTTCATAAAACCAGGATGAAAAAAAATTCAGATTTTCAAGTGGGAATCACTTTTCTTGTAGAAACTTTTAGAAATTTACATTAAAAGATAAGAAATTTGTGTTAGAATTTAAAGAAAATGTTTCAGAATGATAAAAAATATGTTTTGATCCAATCAAATAAAAATGTTTATAGCTTATTCAGTTGTAAAATATGTTAAGAATGACTGTTTGAGCAGCAAGATTTTTCTAAATCACAAAGAAAACTACCTCGTTTGCCAGAAGACGGGTCTCATTCATTGTCCAGTTCTGAAAGTTAGCTCCATCACAGGGAGATTTCCTGTTATCCCAGAGAATTATAAACTTGAGCCTAGGTTTTGTTATTATTAGAAAATGCGAGCTTTTTTGTTGGAGACAGCAAAAGCATATGGCGGTCAGTGGCTTGCTAAAGGGATACCGTTTAGTTACGTGCCAAGAGAAGGATCACTAGTGGCTCTTGTGTTGTGTTGCCTTCATTAATCAATGTCTCAGTTTCTTCCATCAACATAAGAATGGAGAGTTCAAGTATACACTGTTTCTTAATTTTACATCTTTTGTCATTTCTTCCATAAAGTTAGGCATTGTCTAGCAGTTTTGTGACCACAGATGATCTAGGTCCATAATACCACATGATATCAGGGTTTCATCTTCTGGTTTTAGTACACCACCATGCAGATCCATCAGGTTTTCTAGTTTTATGGGGTTTCTTTCATGGTGTTTGATCTTGACTTTTGCAAGTATCTATAAACAAAATAATGTTCAGCAAGGGGAGTCCATAAAATAGCGATTATGACTCCCAAAATTTGCTGAGTTTATTTTTGTACACATAGTGATGACCTGGATTCCTGATTAGGACTCCAGGTCATACAATATATTCATGTCAATAATAGTACAGCAGTTTTCAGCTGTGATGTCTTGATGTTCCTTTATCTCGTGGCACTTAAAAGAGGAAATGGTTCTGGGCAGAGAGTGGGGTGCTCTATTTTGTAGGTGGGAGGGCTGAGACACTGTCATGAGGCAGTTGGACTGGGATCCTGAACTTCTGCTTCCATCACTGTCTGCTAGAAAAAGCATTTTCTGGTCTGTTTTGCAAGCTCTCCATGCTCCAGAAAAACCTTTGTATGGAACACAACCCCTTTGAACAGAAATTTGCAAGTTAAGATAGGCACAAATATAATTTCAAAGACTGTAATAATAGAAAGTATGATAAATCTGGAAAAGGAAAGAATATACTTTAAAAAATACCATGCCCAGAGACTGGGCGTATTGCTGGGAGGGGGAGGAAAAAAAAAGCAAATCTCTTGCTGATAATTCAGGGAGCGTTCCTGCTGGTGGCAGTGCCAGAGTTGACAGTGCTACATACTCAAAGCTTCCCAGAAAATAAGTGTAACCAGGTGTCCTCCTCTTCAGATCTAATGGCAAAGTCTCAGCTTTTTTTTCAGAGTAGGATCAAGCATAGTGGGAATTGCAGTTATGGTCAGTCTCTTCAGATTTACTTTGTAATAGCAACTCAGAGGCCCAGGGAAGAAGTAGCGAATGTTTATGTGTAAATGTGATTGCCTCCAAAGCCCAAATCAGTAGTACAGACGTAGTCTGCCCTTCATTTAGCGAACATGGAGCTATTTCTGTGGTTTCATTTGCTCTCTAAGCTAGCAAATCAAGTGGCAGTACATTAACAGTGCAACTACCTGTGTTAATGTGAGATTTCTCTTAGTCAATGAGTAGCATCTTTGAAATAGGACTCGTTTGTGGGCATAGCTGCAACTGTAAATAAAACTGTGGACAATGGCGTGAAGAAATAGTACCTAAAATTCAAGCTGAATGTTCAAAACTTGTATTTACAGTGAATTGAAATAAACTGGAAGTGAAGTAGTGAGATCTGCATTAGTATTACTTACTCAAAAGAAGGTTGGACAGAAACAGTTGCTGTATGGAACAGAATCCAGGTTTCCATAGAAAGTAACTGTGCTGGGGCCAATCCACCGAAGGAGAAATATGACTGTGGAAAATAATAATTGCCTAAATATGCTTAAATCTCCTACTACCAGGTGATCTACAATTAAAGGAAATGTCTTATTTTCAAATACAGAGCAGCTGTCCAACAGCTGAACCTGCTGCTGATCAAAGTTGATCAAAGAATTCTTAGGATTATATATTATGGACAATCTACAGAAAAAAATGTAGTAGTCCCTGCTTATGGCATGCTTATCAGAGTCCACTGAAGTAAACAGGACTTTTTGTTGTTTTTAATGCAAATCTGATAAGCTCTGTAGAATGTAAATCAGTTCATTAAAATTTGTAAAGCACTTAAATGAAATAAAAGAAAGAACAGTTTAACTTTTATAGGATGTTTACTGCATATAAAGTACAATAAAATCACAATTATTCAGAAAAAATGCTGTTAAAATATGCTATACTCAATATGTTATTCTGGGGAAGATTTAAAATCTTTAAATTGTGATTTTTTTTTAAAAAAAACCAGTCTGACTCTAGAAATCTTACTATATTACTGTGTAGTTTTGTCTGTACAATCTTCATACCATATCTGTCTAAAGTACGCAATATTTGTGTGTGTTTGTGCATTATATATATAAATATATGTGTGTGTGTGTGTGTATTAACCCAGGGATCAAAATAAATATTGAACAGCTCCTTCATTTGTAGGACGCTGCCTAAACTGGGGGTATGTCAGGAAAAAAAACAGGTAAATGATAATAAAGGCAGACGCATGGCCTGTGATGTCTTCTGACGTGATGCTTCACTTGACAGTCTTAACCTGATATTTGTATCATTGCTTACTTTGTATCTCCTAGAACAGTATTCCAAATGCTGAGATAATATTCATTTATCTGGGAAGTTTATCCACTCTATGTGGATATGAGTGCATGCTGATACTACCTTATGCATATGCAGGTTTACATAAAATTTACTGTGTCCGTGTTACTTCTGTAAAAGCGATGCAGAGACTACCAGGAGTGATGCATAAACTGGCAGTTGACACCCTTTAGTGAAGCTGCTTTGGAGCCTTCATGCTCTGATTTCTGAAAAAAACTTTTTTTTTTTTTGTCCCTCCTTCCCTTGCAGTTACTTCAATGAGAATCAATATCCAGACGAGGCAAAGAGAGAAGAAATTGCCAACGCCTGTAATGCAGTTATACAAAAGCCAGGTGAGGAGCTGATCATGGTGTCCCTTCCAAAGGCAATCGCAATTAGATTTCAACATCTCCTGCTAAATTCAGCAAATCTCATTTTATGGCTATTACTAACAAATGTAGCTCTCTCAACTAGTAGTAGATTTCTTCTTGAGCATTCTATAACTTGTGTTGTTCAAAGCTGCCATACTTGGATGAACATGACAGTCAATGCAATTTTCAAACCTAAATGCTGATGCCTGCAACTTAAATTCCCACCATTTGAGATATGAAGTACAAGTTGTGCATTTGAACATTTCATTTATACAGCTTTGTAAATGGCATTGCTAAGAAAATAAACATGTCTGAAAGGTTTTCATTCTTTATGTTCAGTTATTTCAAAGTACTTATACAAGCACTCAGTAGTGATCTCAGAATTTTATTACGCTCCACAAAAGTGGGTTTTACTGGTTCCTTTTTACAGATGGGAACTCTTAGGTTCACAGACTGAGGCTTGCTGGAGATCATACAGCAGGTCCTCAGAGGAGGAAGGAGCATAGCTTTTCTGTTTCTCTGTTTTCCTTACAACTTCTAGACAGGGATCTCATATTAAAAGCTGTTTATTAATGGAGGACTTTGCATTTGGGTCAACAAGTTGTATTTTCCCTGCTCCCAGAGAAGTCATACTTGGGAAAAGAGCGTGAATATTCAGTGTAGTATTAGTGAGCCCAGATTAGTGGACACACCTGCCTTTGCTTAGTTTTGCTAACCAAACATTTACATAGATTTCAGAACTCATATTTTGGGTATATTTAGATTTTATATAACTAAAAATGAATGCAAAAGAAAGCTAAGGCATGACTCCTGAACAGTGGAACCGTCACATGATAGCACAGAATCATAGAGCAATTTAGGCTGGAAGTGACTTCTGGAGATATCTGGTCCAGCAGAACCAGCTTAGATTAGGTTGCTCAGGGCTTTACCTCATTCAGTTTTGAGTATCTCCAAAACTGGAGGTTTTCCCATCTCTGGGTCCCTGTTCCACAATATTGAGCGCTCTCATGGCAAAATACTTTTCCTAATGCCTAGTCAAAATTTCCCTTGTCGCAACTTTTATGTGTTGCCTCTTGTCTTTTCATTGTGGAATAGAATGATCTGGTGGGTAGAGCACCAAAGAGGTTATGATTTTTATTCCTGACTGTGCTGCTGGTTGATTTAGCAACCTTGAACAAACTGCTTAAATTCTTTGTCTCAGGATCGGTAAAATACTGTGAGTAGTACTGATGCAAAGCATTAGGAAACAGCATAGCTATCTATTTCCAGATTTTTCTTTCTTTTACTTGTCTTATCTCTCCTTACTTATTTAAGTTTGCAGATTGCTGCAATTACATGAATGTTTTGTATGCTGAATAAATAAACTTTGAGAAACAGTCTGAAGCAGGGGAGTCTGATCCCCATGAAACCTGCAGAGGACTGAGAATGCAGCTACATTGAATAGGGTCAGGGCCACCTGAAGAGGTTTCCATGCTGTCCCTGCAATGCTGAATCCCTCCAGTCTTTCCTTTTTTTATACTGGTGATCAGGAGAAGGGATTGTCTCCTGTAGCTGGCTGGTGGTGTTGGGATTTTATGTGCTGGTTTAAGTGTAAAACTCTAGTGATCCGGTTTCCAACATCCTGCACTTCTCCCAAAAGATCACGAGTGTGAGTGTCCTGGCACAATGGGGAGGGTGTGATTAGTACCATGGGAGTATGATAGTGGGTGATGGTGGAGAGGAAGGAAAGCACATTGGGGGGAAACACAGAATTTCTTAATTCATTTTGCTGCTGAAGAAAACACGTCATGGAACTATATCCTCGCGGCACATAGTAAGAGAACTAGCCCAGGGGTATGTGATTTGTGGCAGGGTGGTGAAATGAATTTTAGTTTTTTGAATCTCAGTTTTGTGCTTGAACTAGAAAAGCAGCCCTCTATTCTCCCACAGCTCTGGATTTTGTTGACTGAAACTGCAAAGAAATTCCTGTATTTCAAATTTTTAAAAAAAGAAGAAAGGCTACTTTGTTTCTAGAAAGATATTTGGCATTTATTACCATACCATCTGGGCACAGTACTTTGATTCACATAAAATTCACTTTATTCTCAGTTATAATAACTTTTCAGTGCTATCTGTGTTTCAGGGGTTTATCACATGTGTAAGGGTCTTTTGCCTACCTCTGGAACCCAGTGAGTAACAGTGCTGGTTTGTTGGGTTTTTTTTCTCCCTGTTACTTTCATAGGAAAAAAGTTATCAGATTTGGAGCGAGTTACCTCCCTTAAAGTGTACAATTGGTTTGCCAACAGAAGAAAGGAAATCAAGAGAAGAGCCAATATCGGTAATGTATCAGAGAGCCTGCTTTCAAGGTTTAGTACATACGCTTTCTCAGGAGAGATGGAAATGACGTAAGACTGTATTAATGAAAATACTAGAGGTTCTGACGTTCTTAATAGAAATGTGGAGCAATTTTTAAAATTAGTCTCTTGCTGTTCCAGATTTTTTCTAAAATATAGGTAGGAATTTAATTTATGGAATTCCATCATCAGTGCAGGAAAATGATGCAGTTAAGAAGTTTTACTGGAAGATCAGTTTTAAAAGCCAAAGTGAGAATTTTGTTGGTGGAAGGAGAATCATGCTTCCCTATGTTCAGGCTCCTTTGGGTATCCAAAATAAATCTAAAGTAAAACTTAAAAATATCTGCATTGGAAATAAGGGAAATTGAGACGAAGGCTAGTTCACAACCTTAGCATGCTGTTTAAATGAAAGGTGGCTGTTGTGAAGAGCTTTTATCTGGTTGCAAGTTTCCTTATGTCTGTGTTCCACTGAAATGTGCTTGTTCTTTCAGCCAAAACCTGGGGGTGTCTTTCTTATTGCCATCCCTGAGACCCCACAGGGATCTAAGAGTCCAGGCGACTTGTTTTACATCTCAGATACAGGCACTAGGACCAAAGGTTCTGCAAGCCAACTGCTTATTCTGGTTACATCTGTGCTCCTTACTGCTTTCCAAGGGCTTGCACAGTGACAAGTGGCTGGAACAAAGTAATAATTTTTCTTGATGATCAGGATAAAACAAAAGTCACTTCAGAGTTAGCCCTGCAGGTTCTTCGCGCGAGTTGCTGATCGTAAGGGAATTAGAAGTGACTCTGAACTTGCTAGAAGTAGACCTTCTAATGTGAATAAACATAAGACATTCTAATGTGAATGAACTAACATTAGTGGCCAGGATTCAACAAACTTCTGCAATGCAGGCAAAATTTTATGCCCTTAGTTAGATACTATGCAGAATTACGTTTGCGGTACATAGACAGAGATCCATACCTGCTTATTACCAGTATTTTTGCAAATGTCAAATGTTATGCCCTTTTGCCATCTGCTTCTTTTTGCCATATTTATGAATGAGAAAATTTCTTTCTACATCATTTAATGTGTTACTGAAATTTAACCTAAATTTATTTTTCTAAAAATGAAATCTGTCTGTTGAAGGGGTGGGGGGAACAAAGCAAAGTCAGTCCAAGGTGGGTGGAGCTATAGCTGTATCTGTACTGCATGGGGAAGAGGGTTGGAAGAAGATTAAAAAGACCAAAGGGAGGTTTAGATGCATGGATCCTACTGGAAGATGAAGGTATGTGTGTTTTTAAATCCCTTAAGTGCTTTAAAAAATTTCTCCATCTATTTTCAGACACTCCCCGCCCCCCTCAAGTCCTGCCAGTCCAAACTATGTGGGAAGATCTACAGGGAATGCCTTTGCCACTCCAGTGCATTAGAAATTAAGCTAATTTCTAATAGGACTGGCTGGAAAACAAGGATTCTTACTCGCAAACAAGTCTGTTAGTTGGCAGGGAAGGATTTCAGGCAAACCAGTATCTGTACATGTGCTACCTTCCCAAATACTGGAGAGTGAAGAGGAAGAGGCTAAGAACTAACTCTGTTCCTCCAGTTATTCTAACTTCTTGAAAAAAAAAAAAAAGTAGTTACTTTTAATTACTCTAATGCATCAGATAAATTAGGGATCCATTTGCTTTTTTCGAAGAAGCAGCAATCCTGGAGAGCCATGGAATAGATGTACAGAGTCCGGGAGGTCATTCCAACAGTGACGACGTTGATGGCAATGACTACTCAGAGCAGGTAAGCATGGTGAATGAGCCGCGTGGCCCAAAAAGGGAGAGTTCACGCGACACATGAAGAGGCCCTCTACCTCTCACAAAACAGATGTCTCTTGTTTTTGTTTTGCTTTTATGTAATTGTAATGGGGAAGGTGGAAGAGCACAGCTCCCCTATTTGAATGTGTTGAGCAACCAGTATTCACCCACATGGATTTATTGTCATACAACAGGACACTTGGCAAGTACGCAATGGGGAGGAGGAGGGAAGATGTTCAGAGGGAGGCAGAGAAGCAGAGAAGGTAGAAGAAGACAGGAGGATCTGCTCCAAACAAGCAAGTTACACCATTCACGCCACACGCAATGTATGAAAAATGTTAGGAGAGTGTTAACTCACCTAGTGCACCATGCATAACTTGCGCTCTCCTTACCCCTGGCACCATTCTAGTTATCCACCCTTCAGAAAGGATGTACAGGTCTTTAACAGCTGCTCCTATATATCAGGCACCAACATGCTTCCCTGCAAAACTAGGCATGTGTGTTCCTCTTGCACCTATTCTTTCTTTCTGCAAGAAATGTCTCCGTTATAGCCGGTGCTCCAGCTACTGTGAGTTGCTTATCTGGCACCCAGACAAGTACAGCAGTAAGCCCCTGCCCAGTACACTTTAGAATCCCTTTTGTCAACCTTGCCCAGCAAGATACTGAGCACCCTCCTATAAGGTGCTGAGCTCCCTCTGTTTGTCTGTGGGAGTACCTTTCAGGAGTGTCTCAGGATCCGTCCCTAAGACACTGACAGACAAAGGGTGAAGGGTGGGGGGGAAGGATTTGATTAAATAAAGTTTGACATTTATTTGGCCCTATACCTGTTCCGTATTGTTCTGCAACAATGTGCCACTATTGGGATTGTTTACATATTATCTGTCTTTTTTTTTTTTCTTTTTGCATTTTAACTTTTGCCTATTCTCTATTTTTCTTGGTTGTTTTTAACCCTTGACAGCAACTTCTTTTTTAAATTCTCTAGCAAAAGAATACCCCTTCCCGCACTCTGAGCCCTCACCTACCCTAAAGTTGGTGACCCTTCCTTCACACACCTTCCTGACAGGTATTGCATCCCCTTCCCAATTTTCCTTCAGGTGTCAGTGTTGGCCAAACCCCCCAGGGCTGTGTGTGCTTGGCACCAGTGGACTTAAACAGTTCACTTGGTTCTGATGTGAGCTGCGTTCTGTGCTATACCCAACATCTGGGGTGGGCAGATCGCTTTTAATTGACTCGTTTGGGAGAAGTAGGTAGGTCTCCCTCTATAAAGGCTGCTGGTGGAGTGTAATAGCAACTGAGTGTCCTGGAATGAGTCCCTAGCATACTTGGCTGTGGCCCAGTACGACAGATATCTGGCAGAGGCATTCCCAGACGCTCTGCTTCTGATGGGTATTAAGGCCCTTTTTATAGGTCATCACCAGCAGATTTGGTGGAACCAACTTCGCTAGCTCTAGATGATGAGAGGCTGCTCTGTGACTGTTATAAAATGTTTTGAAACTGCTGCCGAGCACTGATAATTCCTTGTCTGTCAGATACAGGACCTGAACACTGAGATGAAGTATTATGTAGACTCCCAAACTATGTTTTTCATCTGTGTGTTATCCAAAATACTTTGAGAAGAGAAATAAATTGGTTATTAAAATTTAAAGATCTTTGTTTAGAGTCCTTAAAAATTATATTTCTCAGTAATCTAGCTGGGCTCCTCTATGAAGTTAGGTTAGGCATTAGCAGCGAAGCTGATTAAATGGCAAGCTCTCCTGATGACCATTTAACGTCCCTTAGCTGTTAAAACCATAAATTCTGTTTTCCACAGCAACACTTGAACTCTAGTAAACTTTAAAACGCAAAGTTCATCCAAATACTAATGAAGTGCCTAGAACTCCAGAAGTCAGGACTTTGTATTTCTTACAGTGGTAAAGATTACTGAGAGGCCCTTAGAGTGTGCACACATCACAATATTTGGCTGACATTTGTTGTAAAGGAATGCATTCCTTTAAATAACCTCAGGATTTTACCAAATCCTGGCTTTTCTGTCCCCCTCAGCATTTGCCACCTGTTGTCTTAATTTAAAAATGCATAACACATTTTAAATTTCACAAGTTCATTGCTTAAAGGCTGTTGGAAGACTGATAAATGTTTATCATTTCCTTTCTGTCAATAATAATAATTTTAAAAAGTTGTGAGATCATGGTGTGGTAACTATTAGTACCCCATTTTAAAGAGGGGAAAACACCATGATTTTGCCTGAAGTTCCAGAAGAATTTATTTGGCAGCTGGAATTAGAGTTTGGGTATTGCTGGTTCCCCTTCTTATTATTGAAAACCAGGCCCTCTTTCTGATGTAGACTGAGAAACATGCACAATTCACTACAAAATTCATGCTAGAATTGTCAGACTTTTAGGTCTGCTATTGTATGGCCATTATGCACCTGTAGAAGGAGCCCCCGAAATCATTGCACTGTTTTCTTAACAGTCTGGGAGGTTTTCAGCATCTTTTTCCCTATTACTGTGTGAATTCAATGTCTTCACAGGATACTGGCTCAGACCAAGGGTTAGTCTAGGTATGTATCCTGTTTCTGAGGGAGGTCAGTAGTAGAATTTAAAGAAAATATTTTAAAGAATATATAGAATGATTTTATTATAGTAGCTTCCAGCTTCTGGATGTCAGTAGTTTTGAGAGGCTTCCTGAGCCAGGCAGTGTATCCACTTTCTGTTTTAATACATTTCTAGTAGACTAATTTTCCCTGAAGTTGTCTAACGTTGCCTTTTAGAGCCATTTTAACTTTAATCTGATCTAAAAATCAGTGAATCCTACAACTGAACTGCGATAAGTGAAGCAGTGCTTCCTATTGCTGCTTTGGAATATATTATCATTCCAGTGAGTGCCCTTGCTTACTAGATCACAAGAAACGATGAACAATTGTTCTCTATTTTACTAATTATCTGTAATAAACATTTACCATATCAACCATCAGCCATTTCTTTTTCAAACTGAAGAACCTCAGTCTATTTAGCCTCTCCTCGTAAGGAAGCTACCCCATGCCTCTCTTCCCCTGGGCTACTGTTCTCTCTACCTTTTCTAGTTCTGTTGTGCCCTCTTTGAATGGGATGACCAGAACTGTATATTCAAAATGTAAACGTAGCATGAATTTGTGCAATGCATAATGATTCCTGTCTTAGTTTGGTTTCCTGACATACCTTGTGTATCACTTTCATCTTTATAATTTAATATTTTCTCAGAATATCCCCCCTCCAATTTCTGTCTTGAAAATTGGGTACCCCACTCCTTGCCTTGCTTACCTTTGTCTGCACAGTGAGGGAAATCAGTCCTAAATCAATTTTGTAAATTCCTTTCACGTTCTACCCTGTAACAAATGTGCAATTCACTGTCCCTAGTCCATTACTTTACACACTAGTTTTATCTGCTGTTTTTCTACTTACGGAGTAACAGTGCTTCTCTCTTCTCCTTTCCACATGCACAGGATGACAGCACTAGCCATAGTGACCATCAAGACCCCATTTCATTAGCCGTGGAAATGGCAGCGGTAAACCACACCATCTTGGCATTGGCCCGGCAAGGAGCCAACGAGATCAAGACAGAGGCTCTAGACGACGACTGATACAAAGAAAGGGGAGGGTCGAAGCAAGAAGTAACTTAGTTTTAGACGTAGCACCTTAGCAGACTTTCCTCGGTCCTTAATATGTGTTCTTACAGTATAACTTTGCAGTTTCTTGTACGTCAGTTAGCTGTTAGGGTCTTGTTCTGTGAAGATGGCATGGTGCCCTCAGCCTTTGCATATACTCTCTCAGTATTAATTCCCAATAAATAATCAACCAACCAACCAACCTCCCTCTCCCAGCCCCAGTGGCTAGAAAAATCTTGCTGCTCTGTCTTAGCATTCAAAGTGCTTCCAGGTATTTTAGACAGCCCTCAATTACAAGTCTTAGGCTACACTTAAGATCTTGGATACCCTTAGAGATTGTGTTAAAAAAATAGTCTGTACGCTTTTCCTTCTCTGAGACTGAAAGGATGCAAGCTGAGGTAGTGGCACAGGGTCGATGGACACCAGATCGGGAGTATCAACAGAGAGTAAAAAGAACACTAGAAACCCCACTTCAGCATGGGAATAAATGATTTCCAGCTGCAATAAGCCGTGCCTCACTGGTCATACAGTGACTTGATATACTTTTGGGTGCTGTGCTGAGAATGTCCATTGGAAACACATTCACATATTTCGGTTGATGTTCACATATTCAACACAGACATCCTCTACTCTCACAAGCTGCGTGGCTTAGTGGATAAGTACTGCCTTCTGCCTCTGGGACCATGATTGAAGCCCAGCCTGGGATCATGAGCTGAATGTCTAATGGACAACAGTCCACTTCTCAAAACCACTATTCATTATTTGGCATGGCTAGCAGTGCCTGCTCAGAAGAGGTCTAGACTTTATTGATCTGTCATTAACAATTTCACCTTTTATTCTCTTGCCTTTTCTGTCCCCACCCTACTCCTCTCTCCACTTTGCCACTTTCAAAAGCAGTGTTTTCCAGGAAAGTATTAAGGTCATAAAAATGGGTGAGTGGATTTTTACACACCTGTGTAACTAATGCCTATGTCCTGACTAGCCTGAAAGGTTATTGGAGAACTTTTGCATCTGACCTTTGCTAGGTAACCATCATAGCATAAACATTCTCCTAAATTCGAACTCTTTTTGTTTGTTTAAAGGCAGGAGGATCTCTTACCTGAGAAATGGGGTGTGAATGTTTTGTGTTCTCTTTACTCTGTCCTTGTTAAGATGTGAGAAAGCTATACTGCTACGAGCAATTTAATTAATAATTGGAAGCCATACTGATAATGGATGTGGTAATATTTGTAAAGCAAACCTACTTTAAGTAGCAGAAACTAATGGAATTGTTTTCCTTGATCATATGTAGCACTTTTGTTACTTTTTTCTTAAAGATATTTATATTTGATAAGTCTTTTTTTTATCATTTGAGAATTCAAAATACCAAACAGCAAACTTGCATTACAGAGTCACCCTGTGATCACCTTGTCATCTAGTATCTAAATGATGAACTGTGTGTGCATCTAAGAAAATTACATCTGCTGGCATTGTGTGGAAATGATCTCCTGGCATCCTGATAAAATGATATGTTGCTGCCGGTAAGAGGAAACGTTTCAATGGAAACAGCATGGGAAGTGTTAGAGACGGGCAGGACTGTGTTATATTAAAAATAAAAATTAAAAACCTATGTAAATTTTTGTATCTAGATATATAAAAATTTGCATAGTGTTTCCTCAACATTCCATTTTTATCTTCCCCGTTTATGTGGGAATAGCTTAAAAAGGGGAAAACAGCTTAGTCTGAAGGATGGGTTTCCGTTTTCTCCCCTCCACTTCTAAAGGTGGAGGGAATGAAGGGAAGCTGCTGTTACTTGGCTTGTTCTCATCCCTTCCTCACGCTTAACTATCAGATAGCATTGTGAACTCCTAAAATGTGGCCCCTCAGCAGGTTTTCAGCCAGCCTAAACCACTTCAAGGCGTAGGCTAACTAGATCATCTTTACATCTGTTAATCTTGTGAAAATTGCTTAGGTAAGTGTGGAGGAGATTTTGTGCTTTCAGAGGGCACAGAGTTGGCACCTCTTTGTCTCTGTAACTTTGAAGATATATAGGTAGGGCTTGGCCTCGTCTTTCACTTATGGATTTCATTGGAAAATTTATGTGCTTTCCTTAGATATAGATCACTGAAGCAGAATGAAGCCGTCTTTTTTCTGTTTTATTGCATTTCTTGAGTAGGCAAATTCATAAGTAGCATCAGGGCGGACTCAGGAAAGAAAGGAATTGGATCAGCGACCATTGCACCATTGCAGTTTTTTTTCTTAATGTGCGTATGAATGTTTTGGTACTAAGGAGTGAGAGGACGGGGAGAGCTTTTATTTCTATTTTTGCACAGCAGAATGATCGAGCGAACTATAGCCTTAGTGGAATTTTACCTATTTATTCATTCCACAGTCACACACCAAGCTGACAAGCAACATCCACGATTTATAGTAAGGAGATTTTAATAATCGATGACCTCTTTACGTTGGGCTTGCCACCACCATTTGTTCTGGCTGTTTCATTTTAAAAAGAACAGACTCAAACTGTTGGACAGCTGCAATTTTAAAAGAAATATTGCTTACTATACCATCTTAAAAAAAAAAGTCATTGTTTCAAGCATCGCCTTTTTAAAGCAATAGGGAAGAATAAAAATAGTACTAGAACTTCTATATCCTGATTATAGGTTCATGTGATGCAGGATTAAAGTAACGCCACTAAAATTGTATGTCTATACCATGTAATGTGGAATAATCTGGTCTCAGTTCTGTTTGTCACTGTCAGGTAGCTGCTGGTCTCATCATGCATCAATATCCTATCTGAAGGTTAAACAGTTAAACCCCTTGTGAACGACTGGAGATTGGCAGATCCTCCTTGTCTGTAGCTTCCTGGTAAATACCATCTTCTCACCAGAGAAAATAGCAAATTACTTAACTGGGGAATCAGACAACTTGGTTTCATGGTGTCAGTTTTTGGGTTGCCCCCGTCTATTTTGGCTTTTCTTTGACCATCCAGAGGTACGAGGAAGGAGTAGGACCAGCTTTTACCATGATGATATCCGGAGAAGTGTACATGATCTGGAGTAAGTGAAAGAATTGGTGGAGAGTGTGTCCTGGAATTTAGCATTTGTTTTAGGTTTTTTTCCACAATATGGGAATCTTCTTTGTCTTTCTGTCTCTGGATTTTCTTGAAAATTATGCCTCATTTTTGTAGCATTGCAATTCAGTTGCAATTTGTGGTAGCCAATCTGGAATTACTGCAGTTTGTTCTCATGTGGGTTCCCTTGAAGTGAATCTGGTGGCAGACTAGGTCTACCTTTTTGTTCTGTGAATAGAGGAGAAATTATTTAAGATGCTTCTCTTCTGTGATGGGCACAGATTGCTTTTAACTTTGTAGGTTAAGTTCTGGCTGTTATTTTGTCGCTCATAAAGTCCTTATACTTGAGTTGTCACCTCTTACCGTCTTCTTAAAACAACAATTTCTACCTCCACTTCTTTTTTGGGTTGTGTCGGGTTTTTTGTTGGTGGTTTGTTTTGGGGTTTGGGGTTTCTTTAATTTTTTTTTAAGTCCACCACCTTTTTTCCTGAAGTATGAGATCCCAGACGTTTGCAAAAGCATTTTGAGATGATAAAAATAAATTGACTTAGACATGAGTAGACATGTTGCCCATTGATGCTGTACCATTATAGAGATATCTTCTAAATACTCTATAAACATACTTATTGTTACAGTGTAATCCCATTAGTCATATGTTGGATGTGAACAAGTTGGTCATGAGTCAGCAGGGCACCCTTGCAGCAATTAAGGAATCTCATTAAAAAGAGCCTTCTTCTCAAGGTTAAGGAAAGCGATTAGTCCCCTCTGTTCATCACTTGTGGGATCACATCTGGAGTACTGTGTGTGGTGTTGGGCAGGAGTGAGTCCATCGTAGCGCTGCTGAGATGAGAGGGTTGAAGCATATGTCATGTGGTGAGAGTTTGTGAGAGCTGGGTTTGTTCAGTTTTTGTTCTTCAGCTATCTTAATGGGTGGGCTTGGAGAAGATGGAGCCAGGCTTTTCTCAGAGGTGCATAGCAAAAAGGTGAGGGGCAGTGGGCTGAAGTTGTATGAAAGAAAATCCCAGATAAATATGAAGATAAATATTTTCATGCTCAAAGTGGAAGAACAGTGGCCCAGAAGGGCAGTGGAAACCCCATCCTTGGGGATGTTCAAAACTCAACTGGACAAGGTTGGATTAGAGACCTCCAGAAGTCTCTTCTGACCTAAATTATTCTGATTCTATACAAACCTGCTCAGGTTGAGGTTTTTCCTAGTTCTGATCTATACATGTTGACTTGTTTAAAGAAATTCTCTTAATTTGTTGTTGTGGGGTTTTTTTCTGTTTTGCTATTCATAAAAAGTTATCTTTCCTATTCTACTAATAGAGGGGAGCTTTATTTGCAGGGTCTGGCTCCAGGCTCCAATCAAGCCATAAGTAATAAATTTCATTAATTATTTGCTCTGTTTACACAGTTCTTCAGGGATATTTGAATTATTCTGTTTGTTTCATTGCCTAACATCAGACTGGTAAGTTTTCCATGTTTTCATAACATTTGTGCTGTAGATCAGTTTTTGCCTTTGTGAGGATTTATCGTTGTCTTGCTGCTGTGAGTGCAGGTGAAAAATTTCACATAGCTGAACATATTAGAGGAAAAATTGTAGTTAGCTTAAGCCCGCTGGTGACTATTATGATAAGCTAGAAATTTTTGGTTCAGTAAATCATTAATTGGTGTTTATCAGAAGCTGAAAGAGTATGACTGGGAAAGAGTCATATTATACTCACTTGAATCCTCCTTTCCTCAAGTGTTAGCTGTTGGCCACTGCTAGGAAAAAAAACATGCTTCACTAGGCAGATTTTAGGTCTGATGTGGATGTTATTTGGAAGAGAAATCGCAATGGTGTTTGCCAATATGGACTGGCTTGGGGTCAGTTAGACTCCCAAGAGTTAATTTCTGTCTTTGAGGTGCATAAGTGCATGGAGATGAGTTCACGATTTTGAGTTCCTCTATGTGGTATAAAAATTTTCCTTCACAATGAGACGCTGCTTGCAAAGAAGTAAAATGAAAGCATTGTGCTGGCCTTCCCCCAGAGTAGTTGAGTCGCCAAGACGTGGTAGCTGTAGCAGGGTTTCATAAGGAAACAGATTTTATTTTTCCTATAGATAAAATCAGCAAAATTCGTGTAAGAGTTTTCAAAACTCAAAATTGCTGCCCCTAAAGCACTTAATGGAGGATGTTGTTTCCCTGCCTGTAATCTTAACTCAGATGCAAAGCTGGATTCACACCTTTCTCTGCAAATTACTAAGCTTCAGTGTGAGATTTTGCCTATAGTACTGAGAGCTGTGGATGTTTAGTAGAAGATTTTTTTCCCACTTTATCCCTGGAATTCTGCTCATTTTAGATCATTTTCTTACCAGAAGGTTTATGTTCCTCCTCCACCCCAGCTACGTCATTGTGCAGCTTTCATTCCCCAGCGTTCATCAGCTTCTTTCAAGTTTGTTGGATAATTACGAGCAAATTCTAGGGGTTTTTTGTCAAAATAAACTTTGCTCTTATTTTAGACAAGGCTTCCCACCCAAGTAGCTCTTGCACTCTTTGAAGTTATTTAACTTGGTAGTGTTATTTTGAGCAAAGTCTTAAGCTTGTAGACAATAATCTTGATTTTGGTGTAGCTTTTATAATTTGGCAGGAATCTTTGTTGGCAGGATTGGTCTTGAAAACTGCGTTATATGTCAGTGACCTAACGTGTTCATTCTTATTAGCCAGCTGAAGATTGTGTGTGTGTGTTAGTAGCAGTAGTCAGGGTTGTATCGTGATCCCAGCTAATTTAATGGAGTTTTGTGGAGTCAGGCATTTTCACTGTGATTTCTTGGAAGGGAAGGTTGATGGCCTGACCAAAAAGTACCTTGCAGTTCCTAAGAAGAGTTGCAGAGACATTTCAAAATAAAACATTCCCCCTTGGGCTTTTTTGCAGCTGGGATACTTACTCAGGATATTGAATCAGTTATTGGCCAACAGACATTTGGCAAGCTGAAAAGCATAGTCCTAAAACCTTCATTTTAACAACTATTACTGTTGTCTAATTTATAGGGTTTAAACTGTCCAACTAAAGAAGTTGCACATTGATGAAGGATGAGGCATTCTAGAGATGGCAGCTATAAATTCGAATTTAAAATACACAAAAATTATTTTTCTCCTTTGTGAGAAATGTGTTTTAACTAGAAAAGTGGACTTGGTCGTTTTGAGGACTGTCAGTAGGATGACAGCATTTTGATGTTGGTTTTTGTCCAACAAATATAAATAAACTCAAATAAATGAAAATAATCTCAGTGGCACCAGTGAAACAGAGATGCGGGGAGAAGAATTCAAACACCTAAAGAGTTGTTCATCGCTAACCTTGGCCTTAGGATTTATCACTTAAAAATAGCCTAGAGTTGTTCATGCCTGTTTTCGCGTAGGCGTCCATTGAACGTAGGCGATGCTGTAGCTAAGACAGTATTGGCACAATTACAATAATCAGCACAAACTACTCTCTGTTTTTGTTAAGATTTTTCTGCCACGCTCTTTGAAAAT